GGTAATGGTCATAGAATCAAGTTTTGCAAGGATAAGTGGTGTGAAAACTTGAGCATAAAGATGCATTTCCACTGTTGTATAGGGTGGTAGTTGATAAGAGAGTGACTTTATCTGATATGATGATCAGGAAGGAGGAAGTCGGTGAATGGTCATTTCTGTTTAGAAGGGCACTGTTTGACTGGGAAATAGTGGAATTAATCAGATTGGTGAGTCAGATTGAGGCAGGTCCTCATCTTAGGTGTTACTCAGAAGATACTCTTGTCTGGAAAGCCTCGGAATCTGGAACATATTTAGCTCAATCTATGTATAAGCTATTGGTTGAGGGATCCAGCAATAGAAGCACAGTTAGCAAAAGGATTTGGTTTAGACATGTCCCACCTAGAGTTCAATTTTTTGGATGGCTTGCTTGGAAAGGAAAACTAAAGACGACTGAGTTTTTGCACAGAATTAGTGTTCTGCCTGCTGGTGCATCTGTAGAATGTTGTCTATGTAAATCTGGAGCTGAGTCTCTCATACATGTGCTTCTATTATGTCCAGTGGCTTGCAAAGTGTGGTATGAAATGATTAGATGGTGGAAGATTCAAGGAGCACTGCCAGCCTCAGTGGAGGACATGCTTGAATGGTGGGCAGAGGATGATGTGTAATGCCCTTCCTCTTGTAGTGATGTGGTCTCTATGGAAACATCGGAATGAATGTATATTTCAGGAGGTTGTCCCTAATGTGGATGGAATTACAGGTCAGATTAAGTTAAAAATGGCTGTGTGGTTTAAGGAAGTATTTAAGGAACACTTGTTCTCAGTTCATGATTTCATGTTTAATCTACAGTGTATCAGATTCAGTTTGGGAGGTGTTTTCAGAGGGTGAACTATTTGAGGAGGCCTATTTTTTCCTACCAGTCCTTCTGTAGAATGCTCTCGGTTGGCATGCTAGGCTGCAGAGTGTTGTCTCAATCTGTGCAGAATAGTCTCTGCTGTGTGATAGTTTTTGCCTCTGGTTTTTATGCAATTAGAATGTGCTGGGTTTTAGTTATGCAAAAATTCCTCTGCTGTTTTAGCTTTTGGTGCAAAGGTTTGGAGTTGTAGGTTTGTTTGCGGCTCAGCTTCCTGGATTAGTTTGATTTTGTTTCAGATTTGGGTGCTAAATGGTGGGTAACCTGCTGCGAGAGTGAAATCTGCCTTTCTGTTCAATGCTGGGGTGTGTATGCTGCTAGTGTACTCCTTGCTGTGTATTTTCTGGTTGGTTTTCTTGTTTTCCTTTGTTGTTGGATTCTCTCCAACTGGAGCTCCGAGCTTAATGTAGCTTCGAGCTCCTCTTTATTGATGTACTCTTCTTTTATGATTTCATCAATAAAGATTTCTTCTTGCTGATCAAAAAAAAAAAAAAAAAAAAAAAAAAAAAAAAAAAAAAAAAAAAGAACAAACATAAAAAAAATTCTTAAAAGTCCAACATATATGATTATTATCAAAAATATTAAACTTTAATATAATATAATAATAAAAAGACATTAATTCTTAATAGTCCAACACATATGATTATTATCAAAATATTAAATTTCTATACTATATATTAAAGCAAAAAAAGACATTTAAAAAACAAAAAAAACATTTGAAAATCAACAATCTATATATCTATCTATCTATACTTCTATACTATATATTAAGCAAAAAAAGGTTTTTAACCCCAAAGCCTGTGGGAGTTTCAATATGTCAATCCTAATTTTCTAATTTTTTGTTTTTTTCAAAAAAAAAAAAAACAATTAACCTCAACATTTATTAACTTCTCTCAACCCATAAGAATTTTTGATTTCTCTCATAATTACTGCAGTACCTTTTCTAAAACAAATAATTTATATATTAAAAAAATTTAAAACAAATATAATATCTATATTTATATGTATCTATTTATTTATATCTATCTCTAACACACAAGTTTTGTGGGAGTTTTCTACAAACTTTTTATTTTTCTCATAATTACTACAATACATTTTTCAAAACAAATAATTTGTTTTTTGAAAAAAATTTAAAACAAATATAAAATATCTATATCTATATCTATCTATTTTATTTATATCTATCTCTAACCCACAAGTTTTGTGGCGAGTTCCAATATTCTGAAGCCTTAATTTCTTAATTTTTTTGATTTTTTTTTAATTTTTTTTAGCACTTATTAAATTCTTTCAAATCTTTTTAACTTCTCCAATACACACACTCTTTTTAACTTTTCACATACCTATTGCAAACAGTGAGTCTCCTTTTCGTTTTCTCATTCTTGACTTCTCACTTCTACGCTTTCAACTTCAGTTGACCACGTATGCAAACAGTAAGTTTTTTTTGTTTTCTCCCTTCTTGACTTTCCTTTTGTTTACTGTTTTAATATTGTAGTTAGATAGCGGCATAAATATATTTGTGATTTGTCTAGTGAATAAAAAAATCATAATTTGATTTTTTAATATGATTGAAGTTAGATAAAATATAAACCCTCACAAAGAGAAAATAATGATTATATTAATTGAATGATATTCTTTCTTTTTAATGTTATTGTAGCTAGTTAATAGTTTTTTTTCATTTATTTATTATTATATGAAAAATGTGATGTGATTGTAGTTTGTTCAATGACTTTTTTTTTTTAATATGATTGTTGTAGTTAGTTAATAGTGTTTTTTTTTAATGTTATTTAAATCATTTTTATTTACTATTTTAATTTTATTTTTGATTTTTTAATATGATTGAAGTTAGATAAATATAAACCCTCACAAAGAGAAAAATGTGATTATAATTAGTTGAATGATTTTTTTTTTTTTTTAATGTGATTGTAGTTAGTTTAATAGTTCTTTTTTTTTTTCATTTATTTATTTTATTATGGGAAAAATGTGATATGATTGTAGTTTTTTCAATGGCTCTTTTTTTTTTAATATGATTGTTGTAGTTAGTTCAATGGTTTTTTTTAATGTTATTTAATCTTTTTATTTACGATTTTAATTTTATTTTTAATATGATTGAAGTTAGATAAACATAAACACTCACAAAGAAAAAAATGTGATTATAGTTACTTCAATGGTTCTCTTTTTTTTTTTTTTAAATGTGATTGTAGTTAGTCAATGGTTTTTTTTCATTTATTTATTTTTTTATTATGGGAAAAATGTGATGTGATTTTAGTTTGTTCAATGGTTTTTTTTTAATGTGATTTAATCTTTTATTTATTGTTTTAATGGGTTTTCTTTACAATTATTTATGAAAAAAATATGATTGTAGTTAGATAGTATAAAACTATTTGTGAATTGATTTGATTTTTTTTTTTCTGATTTGATTTTTAAAGTACCAATTATTGATAATGATTAGATTGTATTTTGAAAAAAAAAATTATAATTGATTTTTTTAACTCACTGTGTTTTTTGAAAAAAAAAAAATATTGTGTTTTTTTAACTATCAATTCACTTAATTTGTGATTTGATTTTTAACTCACTGTGTTTTTTGAAAAACAAAATGGATTGTACTCATTAGGGTCACATAATATACCCAATTATTGATGATGATTAGATTGTATTTTGACCAAAAAAAATTATAATTGATCTTTTTAACTCACTGTGTTTTTTGAAAAATAAATTATTGTGTTTTTTAATTATTAATTGACTTAATTTGTGATTGATTTTTTTAATTATTGATGATGATTAGATGGCATTAAAAAAATTGTGATTTGTATGATTGAAGTTATCTGCTTTTGTTTATAATTTTATTTTTTAATATGATTGAAGTTAGATATGTGTTGTTCATTAATTATAATATTAACTATAATGTTGACAATGTAGAAATGCTGATGGAAGGCCCACAACAATTTGGATTTTAGTTATTTTTTGTTTTACTTATTCAGTGAATTTCAAACAAATGTAATAAATTCTTATTTTTATTACTTTAATTATGCAATGTCAATATTTTCTTTTAAAATTACATATATTTTATGCTAACAATTTAAAAATATGTTTGACATAACTATGAATGGTTTTTTTTTTTAAATTTAATCCCGTGCATAGAACGGGTGATATGCTAGTTTTTAATAATCGGAATGACCATTCAAACAATAATTGTTCACCATTTATAATTATCTATAAATGAACATGATGAATTGACATTTATTTTGATTTTCAAAACTTTAAATATCAACTTTCAAATTTAAAAAAAATAAAAAATTATGTGCAAAAAAAAATTTAAAAAAATTATTATTATTACTATTATTATTATTATTTTTTTGAAAAATTTGAAATAATCAAATTCTTTTTTGTGCAAAACTGAATATTTTGTGTCTATAAAGGAGCATGATAGAATATTAATATGCAAAACTAAAATATATAAATAACTTTAAAAATGAAAAAATTGATAATGTTCTCAGTTTTGAAACTGGAAAAACTGATAATGTTCTCGATTTTATTGGATAATTGAATCAAACTAATAAGTAAAAGGAAAAAAAAAGTTTAATCTCATACTCTATCTTGTTTTTCATCAATTAGTGAAACAATTACCTATATCATCATTATATAAAATTGATAATATTCTTAGTTTTAAAAATTAGAAAAAATTAATTTAATAAATAAGAATCTGAAATACCATAACATTTGTAACTAAAATTTTTGAGTAATTAACTCTAAATTTATTCATTAAAGAATGACTCAACTAATCAAAATTTGTTCGTGTGTATCAATTATAGAATGACTTCCCAAGAAAAAAAAAAAAAAATGGCCTATAATGCCAGAAGTTGTTGGTGGGTCTGGGGCTGTCCCAATAACATTATAATTGATGAAGGGAATGATTGTAATTGATGAAGGGAATGATTGATGAAGGGAATGAGATTCGCTAATTTTTATTGAATAATTAAAGAATATAAAGAGATATAATTAATTATGATTAATAAAGGATCTGGTCACATAACGCCATGAGCAATCAATAATTTTTCCTATAATTCTAGCTTTTTTTCTGTATAAATCCACGAATACATAGCATAAGATAACTCGCACAGACAGAGAAAAGGAAAAAGAAAGAGAGAGAGAGAGAGAGAGAGAGAGAGAGAGAGAGAGAGAGATGAGTAGTGGAAAAGAATTGATGAAGAGATTAGGAGTTGAAATACAGAAAGGGGATGACTACTCGTTTGAGCAGTGGCGTAGAGTTAGAAGATCAAACAGTGAATCATCTTATGAGGAAGCTGCTGTGCTAACTACCAAGCACAAAAACACCATCACCAAAGTCATCCTCCTCGACCGTCTAGTTGAGGTAAGAAATGAAATTATATATAACATTTTTCTTAATTAGGATTTGAGGTCATTGGCCTCCTTCGATTTGGGTTTTTTGATAGAAAATGCGATGAATTTACTTTTATCAACCTATAATTTATCTGGAATGATAGAGATTAACATGAGTAAAATGAATTAAAACCACTAATTCTTTTTTTGTTGCTAAATTCTGGGTTCATAACTCTGATTTTGTAGTGTTGTGTTTTAATAATTTATAATTCATTTGGATGGATTGATTTGGAGAGGGAATAAAAAATCTCTTTCATGGTCTTAGTAATTTGTTTGAGTTTTTAAAGAGGGGAGAAATGTGGAGACTTGTAAAGGAAGAAAGATCAATTATTTTATGTTACCATTCATTTTTTGAATCTCTTTAAAATTGGATAAATTGAGAGAAAATAAATGAAATGATTACTAATTTTATGTAGCACCAAAACTATTATTTATATCTCGTTTGGAAACAGGTTATTTTAATAATTTTTTAATTTTTTAGTTAAAATATAAGGTTAAAAAAATTAGTATGTTTAGAATGATTTTTAATTTTTTATGAAAAAAATATGTAAAAAGTAGAGAGAAAAATGAATTTTTGATTTTTGACATAAATTGTTTTTTTAGTTTTTTTAATAACTTTTTGACTTTTAAACTAACCAATAAGTTGCCAAACAAGGCCTTAATTTGTAAGATTTTCTTTTATTTTATTTTTCCTTTTATTTAGTCTATTTAGTCTACAACAATGATTGAGATTCCCAATTTTTGGGATTTCCATGACTTCCAAAATTATCTGAATCACTCATGTGAGAGAGATGAGGAGGGGGGGAGGGGAATACATGAGTGATCCAGATCATTTTGGAGATTATAGGGGTCCCCAAAATTGGGAGTCTCAATCATTTTTTGTTTAGCCTATGAAATGCACTTTTGTGCATACCAGATGCAACCTATTATAAATTGGCATAGTTTTATCATAAAATTTCATAATATTAATTAAAAATATGTAATCTCATTACAAATTAACGTAATAAAATACATAAAATTTTGTGGTTGATATTACAAAAATTTGTCACTTGATTACGATATTTTTTGTTATATCAATTTGTGGTGAGATTATATATTTTGTAATTGATTTTATAAAATTTTATAATAAAATTATGCCAATTTATGGTAAATACATATGGTATGCATCTTAAGGAGATACACAGGTCCGTTTGGGAAGAAAATTTGTGGCTAAAATAGCCACAAAAGATAAAATAGGCTATTTTAGCCACAACAAACAAAATATCATATCAAATCCATAATGATTACACTCTTCTCTCACAAAACAAGTTTAAAAAGTCAAAAAGTCAAAAAATTCTTCTCAAACTAAACTTTTTAGCCCATGCTAAAATAGTAAAAAAAACTAAAAAGTCAAAAAGCCAACTCACTCCCCAAACCAACCCAGTTTTCCCTTTTATTTAAACAAGATTTGGTTAAAATTAATATATATTTTTTGCCTTTTTTCTTGAGCTTAACCAAACAATAGTGGAAATCACAATTAGTGTGTTTGGTTTGAGTTTTATGGTATTTTTGAAAACTGAATTTTTTGATTTTCGTGTTTTTTTTTTTGTTTTTAGGGAATATTTTAAAAAAATTTAAATATTTTTTTTTTACTTTTTTAGATGCACCTTACTTAGATGTATCTAAAAAATAAAAATAAAAATTGTGAAAAAATATTTTTAAAAATTAATAAATACATAAAATGTACTGAATTCTTATTTTTTTTTTATATATTTTGGGTATTTAGTGAATTTTTAAAAGATTTTTTTACAATTTTTTTTAAATTTTTTTTGGTGTATTTATGGTAAGTGTGTCTAAAAAGTAAAAAAAAAAATTGGTTAAAATATTTTAAAAATTCAATAAAAACAAAAAAATACGGAAAATAAGAAACTAAAATTTTCTAAATAATATTTTTTAAAAAATAAAAACAAGCAAGCTGAATCTTTTTTCTTTTTTCTTTTTCCATAACTTGACACATTATTTAATTTTTTTTTTCTCCTAGATATCGAAACATAATACTGTATTCATTTTCCAGAAAATGTAAAAATAAAAAAGTTGAGACTAGTTTCTGTTTAGTCCAAAAATTGGACTAGAAGGTCCAGTTGAGGGGGTTGTTGGCCTACCACCATGCCCATCTCTCTAATCCAAATAATCAATTTTAGGGTATAAGGTCATAATAGTTAAACTTAATTCTCATCAAATTCTATTGAAAATAAATCTTGGTAAAATTGTCACTAAAAATAATTTTTTTGTGGTAATTTTTTGCATACGTCGCTAAAAATTAATAATTAATGACTTTTTTGTCATGATTTTTATAAATTGTCGTTAAAATTTACAATTAGTAACTTTTTTTATGACAATTTTTTTTCATAAGACCCATTAGATAATAAACCCACTTATTAGGATTTTCACGTAAGTATCCCAATATTTTATCACTAATACTTTCTTAGCAAATCACCTCTAAAAATAAAATAAAAAATATTATTAACCATAGAGTGATGATATATAAATGAAAAAAAAAAAATTGTATCGAAAATTTATATTTGTATCCATTAATTTCAAATCAAAAGATTCATTAAAACGATTTACAATTTCCAAAGTACTACTCTCACGTCATTCTAGTAAAAATTTTTATATCAATTTTTTTTATTTGTACATCATTTTCCTTGACCAAATAATTGAATCAAATTTTTCTTAAAAAAGAAAAGGGTAAAATGCAAGTAAACCCCCTTTGTCTCCTGTAATTCTAAAAATTATATCCTATTTCTTAAAATTCTAATTTCATAACAAATGTCCAATTTTATTGATAAATCATCAACTCAATTAACAGTTTTTAATGATGTCAGAAATTTATTTTAATTAGTAATTCAAGTTATTTTATCATTGTATAGAAGAACAGTTAGAAATTCAATTTTTTTAATTAACTTTATTACCTAAAAAATTCTGACAAGAATGTATTTCTAATTTTTCAAACCACATAAAGCAATTCGTATCTCAGGTAAACTTCAAGAGGTGTATTTGTAATTTACTCTTAAAAAAAGGGGAAATCCTATGATGTGCACCCTTAGGGGTGCATACCACATACACCCTACCACAAATTGGCGTAACGTTATCACAAAATTTTATAATATCAATCACAAAATGCATAACCTCATCACAAATTAACATAACAAAATGTCTAAAATTTTGTAATTGATATTACAAAAATTTGTGATTTGGTTACAACATTTTTTGTTTCGTTAATTTGTGACGAGATTACATATTTTTAAAATTTTATAATATTAATTACACCAATTTATAGAGCACATATTTCCACCATAGGCCTTCCCTAAAAACAATGGTAACTATGATTTCAAGACCATCTATTTTTGTTAAATATCTTCCAATATCATCGACATTTCTTACATAAATTATGTACTCGACGGAAACCTTAAGATGAATGATTTGAATCTCATAGTAGGTCCACAGTCCCCTCAATTGGACTCAGTTCCATGAGAGGGAAGCTTTCTTTGAAAAAAAGTCGATACAAGTTATAAAACGGCTGTATCACTTCATCACCGAATAGTATTCGCAATTAATAATAAATTACCATGTATTATTAATATACCATGTGGACATAATAAATCTTATTATCTTGGAATAAGTAGTTACATTTCTTAATAATGGGTTCACTAGTATGTTGAATTTCTATTTTTTAGATTTTTTTTAAAAAAAAATTATTTATTAAAAGAAGTTAATTGATTCAATAATAGTAATCACATAGTTTTTTTAACAGAAAGTTCGCCATGATACACGTCCTGTTATAAAGGAGATAACTCACTTCAGCCATTGCCATACCCTGTATCGCTACAAGATGCTAGAGGAAGACCTATTACAATGTGAAATATGCGAGACATACATTGTAGGCAAAGCTTGGGGCTGTCAAGACTGTGAATTCTTCATTCACAAGTCATGTAAAGACGTTCCACAAGAGATCAAACACAAATCTCATCATGGCGAAATACTCACCCTCCAATCTTCCACCCGTTATGAATCTGGAAAATTCAAATGCGATGCTTGTTGCAACCCTGGCAAGGGCTTTCACTACCACTGCTCTCCTTGCAAGTTCGATCTCCACTTGGCATGCGCTAGCACGGCCTATACTGCCTACTATGAGAAGCACAAAAAGCCGCTTACGCTTTGCTATGATTTTCCCATTGAGACTTCTAGAACTGTCTACTGTAAAGTGTGTGAGACTGAGATTAGCAAGGATGGTTGGGCATACTATAACAAAGATTCTCATTTTATTGCTCATATTTATTGTGCATTCGATAATGAAGAGGCGCATTCGATTCTCGCGATCCAGGAGCGCTTACAATGGCTTAAAATTAAATGAGCAGCTAAGTAGGCAATTGGGTTATGTTAATTTATGTTGTTGATTCAGTTGTATGTTGTTGTTATTGTCGTACAATAATGTTCATCTCAGCATGCTGCCGTTGTAATTTGCTTGATTTTCTATGTTTGTGTAAATTAATTTGTAATGGTCATGTTGGAGGTTCTATCCAATGTATGTGTACTTTTCATTCCATAGTTAATTGTGTTTGATTTGTTTCAGGGCATTTCTCTTCTAATATCTGTTTTCGCTGAAAATACTATCTTTCCAATAGTTATTTGCACGTTTATTTTGTTTCTCTCTCTCTCTCTCTCTCTACATCCATCTACCTATTCTAATATATAAAGTAAAGGCAATGGCTAGTCACTACAAGAAAAAACACATTTGGCGACTAAATATTTAGTGACCAAAAGTCAATTTTTAGTCGCCAAAAAGTCAGTTTTTTAGTTTTCCCGACTAAATTTTTTAGTCGCCGGTTTGGTGGCCGAAAGACGGTCGGGAAAGATATTGCCGACAAAAAAACTTTTAGTCGCCAAAAAACAAGTCTTAGCGACCAAAACTTTGGTCGCCAATAGTCAATTATATTTTTTAAATTATACATTTACCGACCAATGTTTTAGTCGCCAATACTTAAGGAATCGGCGACCAAACCTTTTAGTCGCCAAAAGCTCATTCATGGAAAAAAAATAAATACACCCACTAACTTCTCTTATGGAGATTCAAACCATCAACCTCTCACACCATAAACCTTATACAACACCCTCTTTCCACTACACCTCTATAACACCATATAATTACATATGCAACATATATTATTTATATAGTATACAGCCCGTATTAATATAAAAGTATATATATAAAGATAATTATTTTTTATTCATAGTTTATGTAAAAATAAATTATTTACTAGAAAAAAAGAGACCACTTTTGGCGACTAAATTTCTTTTTAGTCGCCAATTCTATACTTTTGGCTACTAATTATTTTTTAGTCGTTACAAAATTTAATTCCTACGCTAAAATTATCACTTTTGGTGACTAAAGTTCTTTTTAGTCACCAAAAAGCCTCACTTTTGGCTACTAAACATTTTTTCAGTCACCCAATGCCTCACTTTTGGCTACTAAATTATTTTTAGTCTCCAAAAAGCCTCACTTTCGGCGACCAAACATCTTTTTAGTTGTCCAATGCCTCACTTTTGGCTACTAAAATTTTTTTAGTCTGCAAAAGCCATATATCGGCAACCAAATAGATTTTTGGTCGCCAAAACCTATAATTTTGGCTACTAAATTTTTTTAGTCGCCAAAAATCTTTACTTTTGACTACTAATATTTTTTTAATCACTTAAACCTACACTTTCAGCGACCAAAGGTGCTTTTTTAATCCCCAAAGATACTTTTTCTTGGAGTGAGTGTTGATACATTTGTGCCTCATATTTTCAGATCAGATAGGTTCGGGAGTGGGGGAAAATAGAGGTGGGGTAGGAACCTCTAACCCATGTCCTACTCCTCGTTATTCCTAAGTGTGGATCATATTATAGTGCTAACTAGTCTCCAACTCCGAACTTACCTAACTTAATTATTGTTCTATTTCAAATTATATTGCACCATTAGAATTACAAGTTGGAATTACTATCGTACATTACTAACAAATTAACTTTTACATAGTTGAACCGTAAAATGCTACTATTACAATTCACCACCATTACAATGACACTGACACATAAGCAAAGAGTTACGATCATACTGACACATAAGCAAAGAGTGGTTCCCACCTAGACTCAAACTCTGGGTCACCCTTATCAAATCTTTATTCTCTCTTTACCATTCTTTTTAGGGGTTTTTTTTTAAGGTCCTTGATATTATGATTTTATAGCATAAAGGACATCAAATATTTTTATGATGTCTAAGGTCCATCAACAATATTTTCATAATGTCTAAGGTCCCTCAACCTTGATCCATAGAAATTTCAGTCTAGAGAAAATTGGTCTAGAGAAATTTCAGTCCAGAGAAATTTCAGTCCAGAGAAAATTGGTCCAGAGAAATTTCAGTCCAAATTTCTCTAGAAAATCTAATTATTCTCAGAATTTTATGCAGAGGGAGCCACACATACACCATGCATGTTTTCGGTGAATGTTTGTGCACTGATAATCAAGAAATGTCTTTTTTATCTTGAAGAAGTTTACGAATGATTTTTTTTCCCCCCCTTCCATTTTATCACCTGATGCAAGTTCTTCCCAATTCCTAAGAAAAAACAATGTATTGGCTGTAAATTCAAAATTCTTTCTACCATTGTGTTTCGTATACAATTCGTGGCCTTTATATTTCTGCTTCAGTCTTCCATTAATGGGAGAGTTCTGCAACTTCTTCAGTGCCGGATCATGACCATTGTCATCATCTCACGTTACAGAGAAAATTGGTCCAGAGAAATTCTGGAAAGAATTTCTCTAGGCCAACCCTGATAAAATTTAGTTAAAAAATCAAAGAATTTCTCTGGTTTCAACCTAAAGAAAATTCAGTTCAAAAACCAGAGAATTTCTCTGGTTTCAACTTCAAATGAAAAAAAAAATTCACACAGTGATCACAACCAGAGAAATTTCATACAACTAGAGAAAATTCATAAAACCAGAGAAATTTTATACAGTCAGAGAAAATTCACAAAATTACAAACAATGATCACAACCAGAGAAAATTCACACAGTTCCCACATTCAGAGAAAATTCACACAGTCCAGAGAAAATTTAATTTGATTTGCTCACAGTATATCTATATTTGTATATATGAACAAATTTCAATCTCTTCTCCATTTCTTTTCAATTCCACAGTTTCTTTTCTTCTAGAAAATTTCCCCACAAAGATGTGTGGTTTGATTGATCTCAATGCTGTCAATGATGACGACGAGACTCTTTCTCCTCTTCCTCCGCCGCCACATCCAGAGAAAATTCACAAAATTACATGTAGAGAATTTCTCTGGGTTCAAACCAAAGAAAATTGAAATTTCTCTGAGTTTGAAGACAATCAGCATAATCATAAATTGAATCATAGTATATAGTGAAAAGAATTAATTGGCATATCCACTATGGGAAAGTTATATGATTCTGTTATAGCATATGTAGCTAGGCTTTCATGGATTGTATGAAATGAAGCTAATGTTTTTCTTGAACTGAAGAAGGTCCAAAGATGGGTTTTCAAGAATAACTATAAATAAATAAAAATTTTATTAATCAGAAACAATGATAGATTATCAAAATTGACTGTCAAGTCTGCACAAATCTAATCCTATTTAGTAACAATTAATCTAATTTGTTTTAAATTCAAACCTCACTAGATTTATTTATTTTTAAAATTAAACTTGATTCATGCATCCTACAGGGAAGTTAAAGAGTGGAAGATGAATATGCATGTTTCTATACACGTTTCAAGTTACATTTCTAGAACAATTGTAGAGTTCTCCATTCATGTATGAATTAAATATCTAGTATTGGAGATGTGTAAGCATTATAAAATCAGACACAAATTTCTTTGAGAGAGCACATAAAAATCCAGAGAAAATTAAAATTTCTCTGGTTTTGGACTAAGGATACAACAAGTTTGTAAATATAGTAGTAGGACAGTAAATGAACTTGTGTTTGAATGCATAGTTGAGTACTGCCATGTGGCCAGACCAAACAAACCAGGTAAAGAAAATAGTGAAAAAATGATATAATAGTAGGACAGTAAATGAACTTGTGTTTGAATGCATAGTTGAGTACTGCCATGTGGCCAGACCAAACAAACCAGGTGAAGAAAATAGTGAAAAAATGAACTAAAATAATATATATTGCTGAAATTTCTTGGAGAGTAATGCATATTTATGTTTAACAACTTGGGCAAGATGACCCAAATTAAGAGGTGCCTTTTGAAAGATCACTTTTGAAGTCAAGTGAATGATTTTATTCGTTTAAAGCAAGAGCAAAATGGACAATACAGCTCACCTCAACCTTGCAGAGAAAGCTCGGTGAAATTTCCTTTGAATATTGACTGGAGTGCTTGAGTGATATCAACTTTAATGCATGATTTGACACTGGCCAACCTTGAGACATCTTAAGGGAAGCATCAACTCCACCCACCATATGGGCAACTATTATCTCAGCCCTATCTAAATACTCAAAAGAGTGCCTGAATAAGTAACACGTGATTGCATTTGAGAAGGTACTGTATTCCAAAATATAGATAAGGGACCTACAAACAAAATGTGAACTTGTTCGTGAGATGAAAAATGTTGGGTATTCGAACACTCAAATGGATTTCTAAACGAAGACGGTCCAGTGTCAGACAAAATAATTAAGTTGAAAGAAAGAGATTAAAATTTTCTTTGATTTATTCTCAATTTTCTCTGTATTTTGACTGAACCAAAGAAAATTGTGTTTTGACTTAACCAAAGAAAATTGATCAAAAAGCCAACACAAAGCATCACAACAAGAATTCACAATGTAAACAGCACAATGAGAGTGAAAAACAGAAGGGGAAGAAAAAAATCCTCTCTCTCATAGTTGTTCATCATTGTTTATTTGTATTACCAACTATCTATTTGTGTTATAGGTGCAAATAGAAAGTACCATAGATTGAAAATTCATAACAATTGAACAGTTGGGGTACACAGTAGCTTCAGTGAACTTCTTAAGAAGCTCTTTATGTCCCTTAAACTTTTTCTCAAACACTTGGGCCGGTTGTGATGCGTCAACCTCGTCGGAGCTGGATTTGATCCCGAAGGAAGGTGCCTGGGTGAACATGTCGTTCGTATCGCTGTTGTTGATACAAGATCCATATGTTCTCCAGAGATTTCTAGAAACTTCTTTGTAACAGCTTCAACGAGAATGGAGATGGAATCGGTCGCAACAACAGTGAGAAGATCTTTAGCAGGAGTGTTGGTGATCGTCGCCGTCGAGCCAAACCCCTAATCTCTCTGCCATGGATGTAACGAAGAAAGAAGAGAGACGAAGGGTTTGACGAGAGAGAGACAGAGAGAGAGAGTGAATGAGAGACTCAGCGTGATATATGAAGGGACCTTAGACTATAAAAAAAAGAATCGTGGACCTCTCTCATTACTAAAAGTGGGAGAGGGACCTTAGACTAATTTTTCCTTCTTTTTATTGGGGGAAATAACTTGGCCGTAATGTCAAGAAAAAGTAATTATATATATATATTAAAAGTAGTTTTTCCATACTTAGTTGACACTTTATAAAGATTTATTTTTTTCTAAAA